ATATAACCAGGTCCTGGCACAGGCCGCAGCCGTGAGCAGAAGATGCTCATGGTTTCATGGGGCCGACTGCTCTGTAGGGAGTCGGAGGCCCTAAAAGATTCTTTGTCTGAGTCGAGTGCCCTACAGCAAGACCTAAGAGGAGGACTCTACAAGCCCCCCCTCCTTGTTACTCAATGGACTACTCCACCCCATTACCTGTCCCGGCTCTGGATCAAGGTGTGGGGGCTGCATATCAAACAGTCTTGGGCCTTTGATGTTCAGAGAAACACTGATCTGACCCGAGTCGTAACAGCTTATTTGTCCGCTTTAGTAATTCATAGGCTCCTTGTTGAATGTCTAAGCCTTCAAAGGCTCCTCTCTGTTGGTCTGGCTTACAGTAGCCATGCTGGCTTTGAGAGGCCTGTGACCCACTATGTCGAGGGTCTGGAGGGAGGCCATCTGGCTTCCTGCTAGATTTGATATTGATTTATTGGTTGTACATGTGAAGATAGGAGGACACCAGCTGCTAGGAGCCCCGGTCCATCTAGCACTTGCAAGCCTCTATAACTAAATGGCTCTCATGAAAGCTTCTCAGTGCTCGTAATTATTCTTCATGGGGAAATATTAACACTGACCTAAATTGCCTATATCAGGAATTCCTCAACTTTTTTGTCAGCCAAACTCCTTTGATTTCCACCTCAAATTTAAAGTTAGTATTTCAATAATTTAACAACACATTTACATGTTCACAGTTCTCTAATTTCGGATAAGTCATATGACTTGCAGGTAAACAAATAAAGTATTTGAATAGTTATTTTATTTAAATATATTATTAAATATATATTACTTTAGTTATTTTATTAAAATATATGATCTTTTCTAGTACTTTGTATATGTATATATATATATATATATATATATATATATACATGATAGTAAATGGTGAATGTATTTAGCATGTCAACAGCATGTCAGAAAATGAATAAAGCATTATTATTTTTAATTTTTTGTGTTTATTATAGTGTTTATTAGTATTATAGTGTTTATAGTGTTTAATATACTTAATCACTGCAAAATATGACAAAATATATTACGAAAAAATATTCTCTTTATAAAAATATTCCCTTTCTGTGGAGTGGATTAGTCAACTATCTGCCGTATTACCAGGTGAAGAGTGTCAGATCAGCCTTTTCTTCCAGATTATCTACACATCCCCCTATCGTTCCCCCTTCCCACCTGGCAGTGGGCTGTGATGTGGCTGTGTTCTTGATAATGAGGTGAGAACTTTATTGCTCTTGTCTCTGGCCTGGCACCAGTTTGCAAGAGGAGGCCTGTCTCCAGTGTAGCACTGACTGACAAAGAGCGCCCTCTTTTGACACTTTACATTCACAACACATTATATCCTGCAGGCCCAGGATTGTGGAGGACCTCCAAATAGTTTACATTGGCTTTACATTATTTAAATAAACATATTCTATTGCAAAAACATTTAAGCGTTATTTGTGAGCAGAAACTTTTTTATAATAACATAGACTAAAGAGGGTTACAAAAAAAGGCTAGTTCAGAAACTACTGCATGAGTCAGTCTCTCTTCCTCCAGCACTCCATTTCAAAGCCAGGGATCAAGGGCAGACTTGCGCATGGCATACAGTGAATGACAATAGCTGTCCTCTCCGCTCGCAGCCCCCTAAAGTATAGAGAAGAGCAAGACAAAGGAGCTCTGGAAGTTCCCGGGTTAATAAGTCCAGGGCACCGAGTCAGTGCGGGAGTCAGGAAGGGCACTGTGTGAATTCAAGAGGAAGTCAGTGCCCTATCCACTATAGTAGATGCAGATCACAGAGGAGGCGGGTGAGGATGGCTAACAGTGAATAAACAAAGGTGAGAACATGATTGAGAGACACATTAAAGGGGCCCAAGAAGATATTTTCTCTCGGTAGCACACAATGTGTCCGTCTTGTCAAGTGGCTCGTCCACTAATTGATAAGATCCAGCACATGCGCACACTTCACACCTGATCTTTCATAAGTATCACTCCATTATCTTGTAATTGGAGCTGCATACATATGACTGAAAGATCAAAGGAGTCCTTCTTGTCACATACAAAGGAAGTTCCGGGACTTTTACTGCTTCTGAGGGCTGAAAATTCACTCATTCTCACTGCGGTCAGATCACAATGACAGTCAACGTGACTGTGAATATTGAATGTGTAAATATAGTAACTCCCAGAGGAGGCTGTTTACTGTTTCACCATTTATGCTGCAATATGACATATATGCTTAACTTAAACCTGGGTTAATTTGAGTGGTATGACTGTCAAATGTTGAATAATCCATCAATATGCAATGATAAAACATCTCTCGCACTGCTCTAAGCCATACATGCCACCCCCCCCAGCGCAATGCTGTGGCTCTTTTGAACAGACTGTCATTTCCTTCTCGGGGCACTGTTATTCCAGTAGCCTTTGTGAAAAAGCCAAGTGGCCCAGCTACAGACAGGAGGTGGGATCTTCACAGGCAGCTGAGGTTGTCGACTCAGCAGGGGAGGGAGGCGCACATCGCAGGGGGATACAGGCTGAAAACAAACACTAGCCCTAACAGGAAAGGAACTACAAGACCCTGCTGGGAAATTAGGGGGACTCGTGTGCTCATTTTCATACAACATGCCACAATGTGGCATCCTTTATTGTGTTTGTTGTCGTGAAGGGTTTGAAGGTATGACTGGCATGGAGTAGTCGTTTACGTAACTCACAGTTTGGTGGATTAGAAGATACTGACACAAAGAGAACACCCACAAAACCAGTGTCTGCTTTGAAGATAAAACCTGACCCCCTTTTACATGTTTTTTTACTGAATACTTACTCTAAGTGATCAAATGAAGCAATAAGATTCATGAACAAGGCGAATTCTCCACTGAACTGATACAGATGCAGTTGGCAAATTCAACATTAAATGCAATAACCCTTAAGTAGTAAAACAATGCTTCTACTTTTATGCGTGAATTGCTCTGCTAATAATTATGTGAGGTTATGAATGCATTGAAATAATTACAACATATTATTAACCTAAACAATCTGAATAAAAAGATATTCTACATGTGCTTTCCTTTGGTAATATTAATAGTACTTTACACACATCATTTCATCATAGCAGAGGTTAACAGCATATCTCATTTTTAATACATACTTTCTGTGGTTTTGAGTAAAGACTGCCATCTGCTGGCTGTCTGACCAGCAGACTGTGGATCATCAGAAGACATTGCTTGACACTTGATATATTTTTGTCTGGTTGTTGAAAATATAGAAAGTATATATTTGTCAACGTCTTAAGTAAAGCAAAATATACAGTTATGAAAAGTAATACTTGTATATGCATACAAAGAAATGCATGTATTTTTATACCGAAATAAATAGTTAAACTGCATGCTGTTCAAGTTTAGTTTTTTATGTTTTTAAAGAACTGTCTTAGGCTGAATTTATTTGATCAGAAATACAGTAAAAACAGTAATATTGTAAACAGTAATATTGTGAAATATTATTACAATTGAAAATATATTTTTTAATTTTTTAAAAATGCTATTTATTTTTGTAAAGCTACATTTTCAGCAGCCATTACTCCAGTCCTCAGCGTCACATGATTATTCAGAAATGATTCTAATATGCTGATTACCTGCTCAAGAAACAATTCTTATTATTATTATTAATGTTGAAAACCGTTGTGCTGCTTAATATTTTGTGAAAACTGTGAGTTATGTTTTTCCGGATTATATGATGAATAAAGTTCAATATAAGAGCATTTATTTGAAACAGCAATATTTTGTAATGTTATAAATGTCTTTATTGTTGCTTTTGAATTTAATGCACTTTACTCAATAAAAGTATTACGTTCTTTAAATAAATAAATAAATAAATCTTAGTGACCCCAAAGTTTTGAACTTAGGTGTATGTATGTTAAATAGTTGTTTCTGGGAAATATTCTATATAAAGAATGGAGTGAGTTCATTTTGCCTAATTCTAAATACATGTTATAAGTATAATGTGACCATTATACTTGAGAAGAACACTGACCCAAAGACTACCGTGGACTATTATTGTACAGACTATTGTGAAGACTTTCATCTGTTATTATATTTTGTATTAATTATTTAAGCTGTATTTTTTATTTTAAACTGTATATTTTATGTATTAGATAGCTGATTCATTATTCGTAATTTTGCAATTGTTCAACTTCAATTGAACAATTAAAGATTCAACAAATAGATTCAACATAACTTGAATTAATTTTTTTGGCCAAGACTGCCATCGGCTGGTCATTTACTGGTACTTTTCTATTGCCACACTACAAAAAAAATAAAATAAATAAAAAATATTTGAAAGAACCTGTTATTTGGAAGGAAGAGGGATCGAATGGTTCTTTAAAAAAATAAATTTCTATTTGCCCAGATTTAGAATATACTGTTCATAATTAATATTCATTGATCTATTTTATACTATAAAATAGTATATTTTATACTATTACACATTATTCAGATATCAATAGCGAACAGATAATAGATATACATTGTGTGTACAAGGTATTGTGAGAAGAACAAAACACAAAATATGATGTAAAAAATGATTATGCTCATAATTCTATCCTGACTAATTAGGTGATATGTTACCCATTTTTTCTGCTGGAATAATAGGCCTACATTCATCTCTCCTGTACACATTGTAGAAAAACATATCTTCATTTAATACTTTTCAAAACTCTGTTTTCACCTGTTTTTATACAGTCTATGGTTTCACACACAGTGCACACTGTCAAAGGCTAAGAGGAGTGTATTGACATGCTATGTCCATGATCCATTCATTCATCGCTTTTCATCAGATTTGTATTGGTCCCTAAAGCGAAAAAAGAAAACACATTAAAATTTGTTTGTGGCTCTCTTAAAAAACACGAGACGATTTGTGGTTTTTCTTTCCATCTATAGCTTTTTGACAGCTATTATGGCTTGGTTTTGCATGCAACCAACCTTGCGCTTGCACTAACCACACCCCCCGCCTTCACCAAATTATCCACCAATGTGACTCGCCGCTGGATGACTGTGTGATAAACAGAACCGTTAGTGTGTTCATTTTCATACGTTTCTTATTTCTCCTTTAACGGCTGGAGAAGAAAATCGTTTTCCTTAAGAAGTATGGCCACAGTCAAAAAGGACGACCGTCTGACAAGTTCTCAAAGTCTACTGTGCGTCGGTTTTGCCGGGGTTTTTAGCAAAACTGTAACGTCACCTCTGGAAGTCGTGAAGATTTTGAGTCAAATAGGAACATTTCACTGTAAACGCGGCTTCATGCACAGCTTTGTTTTTATTTGTCAGAATGAGGGACTTCGAGCATTTTGGAAGGGTAATATGGTTTCCTGTCTACGGTTGTTCCCCTACAGTGCCATACATTTAGCAACTTACAAAAAGTAAGTATTAGACATTTTTACTATTAAATAATGAATAGTTGATGATTAGCATTTATGTCTGATGTACGTATTGATGACTTGTGTAATTCATAAGATATGATCAACTTTTCGATCAGCTTTGATGGTAAACAAAGACAACAGGAAGTTGACGTGTTCGCTTGATAGCCTTTGAAAGTTGAAGAGTAAAAAGAATTGAATTGTAAATTAATTATATACTAGCAAGTGAGGATGCATTTAAGTATGCTTAAGAAGCTACATTTACGATAGATCGTTTAAATAAATTATCATTTCAATTTCCCTTTTTGCTTACATTAGCTTAGCTTGTATTACTTGTATAGCGGGGGTTTACATGAGTTCAACGTGACGTAACACATCACGCCTTCATTTCCTGACCAATCATGTAGCTCAGAAAACCGGCACGATGATGCGGTGACATCCTGAAGCTGCAGTGGGCGTGGCCTTAATTCTGTGCATTCATAAAATGAACTTAGCAACGCCCATCAGAGGGAGCTTTTTAGAAGTACTTCATTGTACACTGGTCACGAGTATTTTCACGTGCTGCAGGGGTTAACGGAGACACCGGAAACTGTTTCAGAAAGACCCGTACATAGTGTTCCAGTATTCCAGGAAAAAGAGTGGAGGGCGTATTCCGACCTGTTTTGTTCCTATGAAAAGAACATGTGTATAAAATACAGTAAACAGTAATATTGTAAAACATGGATAAAATGTAAATGAGCAGTTTACTATTTTAAAATGTCATTTATTTCTGTGATGGCAATGGTGAATTTTCTGCAGCTATTACTCCTGACTTTACTGTCACATGATCCTTCAGAAATCATTCTCATAGGCTGATTCTAATATGCTGATAACCTTTTTGGTTGGTAAATAAATAAATAATAGACAAACTGATGTCCTTTTCCGTTAAGCTTATGTACATTTCCTTCAACCTTAAGACACAACGCAATGCACAATTCAAAATATGGTTATGCATATCTGTGAAATTGCTACATATTAACAATATTATCAGTAAATTCCTGCATATTAACACATTACACTGGGTCATATTTTTACACACTTTTTCTTAAAATGTAGCTACATAGCTGTAGGTTTAGTAATTAGAAGTTTATTAAGTTAAAGCATTTAACTAAATTTTAGCTTTTAGATAATTAGGTTTTAAACTAAACTTGCTCTAAACTTGTCGAAAATGCTTTATACTCTAAAAGTTCTGTGGTAATGATATTCTGCTATATTGCAATATCACAACTATTCATTTAATTCTATTTTTGGCAGTATTGTCCACCTTCACATTGATGAACAGGGTGATATCTCGCAATGGAGAGCCATAGTTGCCGGTGGGCTGGCAGGCATATCTGCCGCTCTAGCAACATATCCACTGGAGGTGGTTGAAACCAGACTTATTGCTCAGAATTGCCAAGAACCAATGTACAGAGGGTTGCTGCATTCTCTCTCCATCATCTACAGAAATGAAGGACTTCAGGCTCTCTACAGAGGCTTTTCACTCACAGTGTTAGGTATGTATTATTAGTAGAGCCTGTTTACGCCTCAGAACCTTCAAATTAAGGTAAACCTGCATTTAATAACATCAAAACCAAGCTAAAACCTTTTAATTAATAATATTACTTAAATTCTGGATCTCTCACAATTCTGCTTGAAAAGTGAATGGAACTTAATGTTTGGATTACTGTGGAATAGGGGCCGTTCCCTTCTCTGTTGGCTGCTATGCGGTGTATGTCAATTTGGATAAGATGTGGCAGGAGCGTCATGTTCGCTTCACGTCTTTGCAGAACTTCATCAATGGCTGTCTTGCAGCAGGAGTCGCTCAGACTCTCTCCTTCCCCTTTGAAACTGTTAAAAAGAGGATGCAGGTGAGAATCTTTGAGACATACTGCTGTAGTGCTATATCTCACCACAAGGGGGCACAATAATACCAGTGTCACAGACTTAGAGCCTCCCTAAATTTGTTTAAAATTCATACCTTTTTAACTTGGATGTGGCCCCTTTGTTCATTTATGTTAAGGATGAAACATTAAAATGTTTGAAAGAAACATGAATTTGAGTTCTGAATAGTCTTTGCAACAGGTCATACAGAACAATGCAGGACACCATTCTGAAGGACACAAGGCCCTGCAGCAGCTGAGAATGTACATAGTGTCCAGCGTCTGTCTATGCCAAAGATAAATTGTCTAAAGATAGTTGACCTCTCACATACAATACACATAATGGTGTATCTGATCTGGTTCCTTTATGCATTGTTTTGCTAAACTACAAAACAAAAAGTTCTGCTTTTTCTGCTTTTGTAAGTTAAATTGCAATGTCAGGAATAAACCTTCCAAAGCTGCTAAAAAGTGAACGTGACGTGACATGTGGCCAAGTATGGGTACCCATACTAGGAATTAGTGCTCTGCATTTAACTCATCCTAAGTGCACACACACAGCAGTGAACACACACACACAGTGGGCAGCCCTTTATGCTGCGGTGCCCAGGGAGCAGTTGGGGGTTGCTCAAGGGCACCTCAGTCGTGGTATTGAAGGTGGAAGAGAGCGCTGTACATTCACTCCCCCCACCTACAATTCCTGCCGGACTGGAGACTCGAACTCGCAACCTTTGGGTTACGAGTCCGACTCTCTTAAACCATTAGACCCCACTTCCCTAAATGTTCTGAGACTTTCAGTTTGGTGCTAAACAAAGTCTCTATAGACACAGTGAACACAGCCTACAGAACACACATCAAGAGGGTTTAAGGGTAGATAAGTGTAGGAAAATGTGGTACAGTAGGGCGGTCAGTTGTTACTGGAAAACAAATGCACATGAATTGAATACAAACCATGTCTTATTTAGTCATCTACACCAGTGTTTCCCAACCTTTTTTTAGTCGCGGCACCCTTTGGAAATTTTAACAAACTTGTGGCACCCTACAACATTAATTCTGTCACAATATTTGAATTTCTAACTTCGATATGATAATTTGAAAAGTATAGATATTCGGTACAACAGGGAAGAACTGCAGAATATAATGCCATACAGATATTTTTAATATTATTAAAAAAAAAATTGTCCATCAATGGTGGCAATCAGTAGGCTAATTTCTAATGAAAAGACCTATGTATATGACAGATTTTAATGTAGGCTTTTATTCATATGTAAACATTGTGAGATAGCTAGTTATAATGGTAATTAAACAAAGTTTTGATTTTACAGCTGGGTAATTTTGTTGCAGTAGCACGAGATAGCTTGATTTAAAACTTTGAATTGAATAAAAAATGACAAGTAAGCAGTCAGTAATAAAACAAGAACAAATAAAGAAATTACTAATGATAGCACAAATAAAAAAAAATCACGATAGGCCTACAAATGAAATAAATTGCTTTTTAGTTTTTCAGGTAGGTCTAACACACAATAGGGACTATTAAGAGATTTTTTCTTACCAATTATCCAAATAATGTTTAGTCCTAGAAAGCTATTATTATCAGAACACGTGAGCATAACATAACGGTTAGCAGATCAATGAATGAGAGGGCAGCGTTACCAGAGTTGCCCATTTACCACACCTTGTTACAACACAGTAGGACTATTGCAGACAGAAACAATACTGTACTACATAGATGTTTCCTGTCAGCTTGATTTTTGAGTGGACTTTGCTGTTCCGATGAGCATGAACGATATACCAGTGGAGCGACTGAGCAGAGCACACACACGCATAGAGCGGGATAATACACACACGCATAGAGCGGGATAACACGCAGAGCGTCACACCACGTGAAAGTGAATCCTGAGCGGTGAACTCATTTTCGGCAGCCGGAATTTCGGTGCATCTCTAATTATTGGCGACATCAGAAATGGATATTACATAATATATGCTTTTTTCAATATTTTAGCAATTT